ACGGTATGTAAAAAAATAATATTATAATTATATAATATGGGTATGTTATTTGTTTTTTGGTCAACATTATCTCAACCTTTCATATTATTTCTATTAGAATAAATAAAATATTAACTTATCAATAGCATTGTAAGTAAACAGCCAAATATCTTTGGCAATATATAATAATATATATATATATAATCTGGCATACAGTCTCTGCTCAGAATCATTTTCATATTATATTATGATTTAACATTGAATTCAAATTTAACATTTCCATTACGGTCACCTACTCAATGACAACATGCATATAAACTTGACACCTACACATAGTAGAGCGACTTCCCCTGTTTTTTAAAAGTTCAGTAGTTCCCCTTTTAACAATCAAATATGACGTCTATATAGACACATCATACTGACACCCATGGTCTAATATTGATTTAATTGTCTAGTTAAGTCTCCCCTTATCAAGTAAAATTGAACATAAAACTATCACATTAAATTAAGCAAAAAGGAACTAATGCATCAGTATGATGAAAAAATGTGTCAAAACTACAACATCAATTACTCAGATGGTCTTAAATCACAAACGTGTAATCGTGTTWATTTGTAATTGTCTTTGTAAAATTATTAATTTATCATTCATTTTAATTGCTTTAATCGATACTTCTAACAAAGACTGAAAAACTACCTGAACTTTTTCCATACATGTATAGAAATATATAGGTATTAAAGATGTATCTATGCTGCACAATTTGAATACCAAAGTGTTAACCTGAAATTTTTTTCTGCACTGAATAAAATTATATCTTCATAATTAACATCAAGAATGGCTGACGATTGTCTAAATATGTTATAAATTCTCTCTATTGAATCTATTATTATTATTATTATTATTATTATTATTATGGTAGGTATAAGTATACTAATATAATTTCAAAAACGGTCCATTAACCTATTATATTATTTTATATTATTGTGATTAAAGCTATTTATTTTACTATTATGCATTACTATTAGATACATACTACAATAGGTTGAATACTCAAATTCATTTTTAGAATTTTTATCATTTGAAAAGGTCATTGCTAGTATAA